GTGTATGTGTGTGTGTGTGTGTGCCTTCAGTGTGTGTGTGTGAGTGTATGTGTGTGTGTGTGTGTGTGTGTGTGTGTGTGTGTGTGTGTGTGTGTGTGTGTGTGTGTGTGTGTGTGTGACAGAGTGTTTGTTTGTGTGACAGAATGTGTGTGAGTACATAATAATATGAGAGAGATGAGGTAAAGACAGACAGACAGACTGACTCACAGACTGACGGACGGACGGAGGGAGGAAGGGAGGGAGGGACAGAGAAAGACAGAGCCCTCATTTGGACAATTATATGGAGACAACCGATTGAATTCAAGGGGTATGTATGTATAATACAGAAAAAGAGGGTTCAGTTAAGTATGACAGGAAAAATCGAAGAGACGAAAAGCCGAAGACGCTGACATACAAGATTCAAAAATAGCCTGAACACATGGGAACTCACAACGCATTGAACATCAACTCATTCGTAAGGGCCTCAAATGAAAAAAAAGAGGGGGTGGAGAATCGTTATAATATAATGACGTTTTGTGATGATGATGATGATGATGACGATGAAGATATCATCGTCGTCGTCGTCATTATTATAAATGTATTATTATTATTATTATATTATTATTATTATTATTATTATTATTATTATTATTATTATTATCATTATTATTTTTTTATTATTATTATTATTATTATTATTATTATTATTATTATTATTATTATTATTATTATTATTATTATCATTATTATTATTATTGTTGTTGTTGTTGTTCTCGTTGTTGTTGTTGTTGTTGTTGTTGTTGTTGTTGTTGTTGTTGTTGTTGTTGTTGTTGTTGTTGTTGTTGTTGTTGTTGTTGTTGTTGTTGTTGTTCATTATTAGTGGCATCCTTGCTATTCTCATATCATTGTCGTCATTTCTACAATATGTATTGGAATCCCTTTTAGGTCTTCCATGCCTTGTTGTTGTTGCTATTGTCGCTACTACTGCTGCAGATGCTGCAGATGATGATGATGATGATGATGATGATGATGATGATGATGATGATGATGATGATGATGATGATGATGATGATGATGATGATGATGATGATGATGATGATGATGATGATGATGATGACCTACCCACTCCAGCCCCGTCCCCTTTACCTCAGCCTACAACTACAGACAACGTCGTCAATCTTTCCTCTCTCCCCCTCACCTCTGCCCATATTAGTGTCCTATCTAAGGGCAGCGGCTTCTGTCCCACTCAAAAAAACTTCAATCTTTTCCAGTTCATCAAGGACACCAAAGAATATACCCGCCGCTGTAGACTCTTAGAATACTTCGCTGAAGTGGACTCTCTTCCCCGCTCTGATATTCCCCCCAAACTCTATGTCAAAAGTAACTGGACCCCCCCTTCCGGCCGTAATGCTGCCCTCGACCTCTATTGTGACAACATCGAGAAGTCGGCACTCAATAGCAAAATGATAGACGGAAACCAATTTCACTTTAAATCTAAAGACAACCTCAATGGAGCAGAAAGAAAAGCTCTCCATGACCTTATGCACGATAATGATCTCACTATCCGTGAGGCTGACAAAGGTGGTTCCCTTGTGGTCATGAACACCAGTGACTACAAACACGCATTAAACATCATGCTTAACAATCCCACCCTATACAAACCACTCACTTCAGACCCAACTTCCTCTCACCTTAAGGCTATTCACAAACAAATCCGTACACTGGAACAATTTAAAGTGATATCCCCCGAAATCCACAAGAGTATTCTCCACGGTGAGGTATCCTGCCCCCACTTTTATGGCCTCCCTAAGATCCACAAACCAAACAAACAAGGCTCAATACTTCCTCCTTTTAGGGGCATCATTTCACAAATCAGAGGCCCTACCACTAGAGCCTCCTACTGGCTAGACAGCATCTTTAAACCCCTCGTCCCCGACTTCTGCGGCAACCATTGGGTCAAGGACAACTTACATGTCCTTCAAAAAATTAAAACACTGAATGAAAAAAGGCAAATTACAGACAACACCAACATTTTGGCCATAGACGTAGTAGACATGTACAATAACATCCCACACAAAGAAGGAGTCGAAGCCTGCCGCTTTGCTCTCGCTAGCCTCACCACATACACCCCATGTCAAATTAGAGAAATTTGTCAACTCCTGGAACTAGTCCTTACACTAAACAACTTCTCCTTCAACGACCAACATTTTCTTCAACTCACAGGAACAGCCATGGGAACACCTGTAGCTCCTTCCTATGCCAACATTTTTATGGCAGAATTTTGGCGTAAAAACATCGCCCCCCTTCCCAACCAACCCTTTTTGGTCATGAGATACATGGACGACATTATCGCCCTACATGATGGTAATTCTCAACAGACGCATCAATTTCTTTCGGACATCAACAGCGTCCATGACACCATCAAATTCACACACTCCAACCCCGGAAAGTCTACAGCTTTCCTCGACCTCTCCATCCACCTTCTCAATAACAACATTGAGACAGACCTCCACCTCAAACCAACCGACTCTAAGCGCTACCTCCCCCCTTCTTCCAACCACCCCAAACATATTTTCCGTTCGGTTGTTTACAGTGGTGCGCTCCGACTCCGACGCATCTGTTCCAGGGATGAATGGTTTAATGCTAGAATTACAGATTTCAGGGAAAACCTTCTGCGCAGTGGATACCAAAACAGTTTTATAACCCCCATCATAAACAAAGTGTGCAAACTCAGGCACAAGGATCTGCTTAGCTACAAACTCCACAAACCTCATCAGAAAAGGCCATTCTTTGTCACCACTCACCACCAAAAGCTGCCCAATGTCCACAACATACACAACCAGAACAAAGACATTTTAGAAAAATCTGACAAGATGATGAAGTGCTTCCCTCAGCCCCCTTTAATCGCTCTCCGACAACCCCCCAACCTTGGCAACCTTCTCATCCGTACGAAAGATACGATACATCTTCCTTCACCTCAAAACAACCCCTCACAAACCCCCCAGAACCACCCCTGCAAGAAACCTAGGT